TGTCATATTTAGACTATTAACATTGAAAGTGATTGTTGATGTAGTTGGTTAACATCTACCATGTTTGTTACTATTTTCTACTCATTGCCTTTGTTCCTATTTTTATCTTCTCTTTTTCTGCTTCTCTGGTTTTAATCAAGCATTTTATATGATTTAATATTCTCTCCTTTATATCAATTATACTTCTGTTTTCACTATTATTTTTTTATTGGTTGTCCTAGAGTTTGCAACATACATTTATAACTAATCCAATTCCACTTTCAAATAACATCATACTACTTCACAGGTAGTGCAAGTATTTTATATCAAAAAAATCCTACTTTCTTCCTCCTGGCCCTTGCACCCCTGCCGCCACTCATTTCACTTTTATGCAAACTACACTTGTTGAATAGATTGTTGCTATCATTGTTTTGAACAAATTGCTGTTAGATCAATTAGAATAAGGAGAAAAAGTTTTTATCTTCACTTATTTCTTCTCTAATGCACTCCCTTTCTGTTAATCTCAGTTTCTAACCTGTATCATTTTCTTTCTCTCTAAACTTTTATAAACACCTTCTGCAAGTCTACTGCCCTCAATTTTTATCTAAAGTCTTTATTGTTCCTTCACTTTTGAAAGATAATTTCAGCAGATACAGAATTCTAGGGTTTTTTCTCTCACACATTATATATTTCACTCCACTCTCCTCTTACTTGCATGATTTCTGAAGAGAAATTAGATGTAATTCCCATGTTTACTCCTTTATATGTAAGATGTATTCTCTTACGTGACTTTCAAGCAGTTTCTTTATCACTGATTTTCTGTAGTCTGAATGTGTTATGCTTCAATGTAGTATTTTGGCATATATCCTATTTGGTGTTCTCTTAGTTTCCTGGATCTGTGGTTTGGTAACTGATTATTAATTTAGGGGAAATTCTCAGCCAATGTTGCTTCAAATATTGCCTCTGTTTCCTTTTCTCTTTCTTTTCCTTCTGGTATTCTCATACATACATGTCACATCTTTTGTAGTTGTTCCAGAGTTCCAGGATGTCTTTTGCTTATTTGTCTTTTTATATTTCAGTTTTGAAAATTTCTATTACTACATCCTCAAGGTCAGAGAGTCTTTCCTCAGCACATTCAGTCTACTAATAACCCACTGAAGGCATTTTTTAATAGTATTTTTTATTTCTATCATTTCTTTTTAATTCTTTCTTAGAATATCCATCCTCTGCTTAAATTATCCAGCCATTCTTGCATGTTATCTACTTTTTCCATTATAGCGCTTAGCATGTAAATTAGAGTGGTTTTAAATTTATGACCTGATAACCCCAATATCCCTACCACACTCTGGGTCCTCTGAGGCTTCCTCTGTCCATTCAAACTGTGCCTTCTAATTTTTTTATTTTTTGAGCTAGAGTCTCACTCCATTGTCCTAGATAGAATGCTGTGGTATCATACAACACATCAACTTCAAACTCTTGGGCCCAAAAGATCCTCTTGCCTCAGGCTCCCAAGTAACTGAGACTACAGGCATCTGCCACAATGCCTTCTACTTTTAGTAGAGATAGAGTCTCGCTCTTGCTCCAGGCTGGTCTCAACTCCTAAGCTCAGGCAATCCATCCACCTCCGCCTCCCAGAGTGCTAGGATTATAGACATGAGTCACTGTACCCGGCCTTGTGCCTTGTAATTTATTAAAAGGCAGACATGATATATTGGATAAAAGAAACTGCAGTAAATATAGACCTTAAGTAATGTAGTGGTAAAGAAAAGGAAGAAGAAGTATTCTATAGTTCTATAATTTTATTAGTCTTTTAGTAGGCCTGTGCCCCTGGGTTGTGAATGTCATTGTTCTTATTTTTTTTTTCTTTTTTCATTCCTTTAGGTGGGGCTGGATGGCTAAAGGAGGCTGAAGCTGGGTATTTCCCTTTTCCCAGGTTGGTTAAAGCTCTGATAAAAACTACACTGGTTAGGCACCAATAAAACAGAGTTCCTCTTGAAGACAATTTGTTGTCTTGTTAAGACATTGTTAAGAATAACTGAATGGGCTCGGCGCCTGTGGCTCAAGCGGCTAAGGCGCCAGCCACATACACCTAAGGTGGCCGGTTCGAATCCCCAGCCCAGCCCGTCAAACAACAATGATGGCTGCAACCAAAAAATGGCCAGGCGTTGTGGTGGGCGCCTGTGGTCCCAGCTACTTGGGAGGCTGAGGCAGGAGACTCGCTTGAGCCCAGGAGTTGGAGGTTGCTGTGAGCGTGATGCCATGGCACTCTACCCAGGGGGATAGCTTGAGGCTCCGTCTCAAAAAAAAAAAAGAATAACTGAATGTTATGGCATATTTCAAATTGGTTACTTTTCTACTCTCCCCTTAAGGAAGAAATACAGGAATTTTCTCCAGTCTTCTCTATGAGAACTCGTGGAAGTACAACTCAAAACTGTGAGAGCTCCACCATGACTAGGACTTTTAGAGTTTTAAACTCTCAAACTAATTTGACTCCAGCAATTACAGGCAATCCCCAAATTACATACAACTTAAGTACAAAGTGCACTTACAAACAGAGGCTATTACAGTACATACCTGAGTTACAAACATCCCAGCAGATATATGTCTCACACTTACAAATTGAGGCTATTATAAGCAATAAGAAAATGCACCTGTTCCAATTTACACACAAATTAAACTTAAGAACAAACCTACAGAACCCATCTCACTCATAAACAGGGAAGGTTCCTATAGCAGTGGATTTCTACTCTGCTAAGTTGTGTTTTTCTGTACCCACCTTTCTCTAGTTTGGGGGTAGCAGTTTTCCCTATGAGCTTGCTTCTCTCATGGATCTAAGGAGACCTATTAATTTCTCAGTTTTTTCAGCTTTTAATTTATCATTAGGATGGAGGGATGACTCTAAACTTCTCACATATCAAACCCAAACCAAGAAGTCCTATCTATTATTGTTAAACGAGGTACTACAAAAATGCAAGTGTCAGCTGAGCACAGCATTTCATGCTTATAATCCCAACACTTTAGGAGGCCAAGGCAGGAGGGCAGGGGGAATTGCTTAAGGCCAGGAGCTTGAGATAAGCCTGGGCAACATAGGAAGACCCCATGTCCAAAAAAAATTTAAAAATAGCCACATGTGGTGGCACATACCTGTATCCTAGCTACTCAGGAATTTGAGGCAGTATTCCAGAGCCCAGTTCAAGGTTACACTGAGCTATGACTGCGCCACCCATTCCAGACTGGGCAACAGAGCAAGACCCTATAGGAAGAAAGAAAGAAAAGAAAAGAAAAGGGCGATGCCTGTGGCTGAAAGGAGTAGGGTGCTGGCCCCATATACCAGAAGTGGTGGGTTCAAACCCAGCCTTGGAAGAAAAAAAGAAAAGAAAAGAAACAAAGGAAGGAAAAGAAGAGGAATAGGAATAGTAAAGGAAGCGGGAAAAGAAAGGAAAGTGAAAAGGAAGGAAGAAGGAAAAGGTAGGGAAGGAAAGAGAGTGAGAGAAAAAGGGAACAAAAAAGGGGAAAAAGGAAAGAAGAAAACGAAATAAGGATGAGAAAGAAAGAATAGAAAGGAAAGGAAAAGAAAATGAAAGAAAAGAAAATGCAAATGTCTCTTCCTGAAAGACAGACAACACAACTACAGTAGAGATAAAAATTAACCCTCTGGGCTAGGCGCCTATAGCTCAACAGGCTAAGGCGCCAGCCACGTACACCTAAGGTGGCGGGTTCGAATCCCCAGCCCGGACCCGCCAAACAACAATGACGGCTGCAACCAAAAAAAAAAAAAATAGCCGGGCGTTGTGGCGGGCGCCTGTGGTCCCAGCTACTTGGGAGGCGGAGGCAGGAGACTCGCTTGAGCCCAGGAGTTGGAGGTTGCTGTGAGCTGTAATGCCATGGCACTCTACCCAGGGGGACAGCTGGAGGCTCTGTCTCAAAAAAAAAAAAATTAACCCTCTGCTAAAAGCTCTTTATATTCTCACTACTTGTAGTCCAAGCAGATACAAAGTCCCGAAATTAAGAAAAAGGATAGTCTTTTTAAAGAACTACAAATGTTCCATAAGGTCAGTGTGAAAATTATGTGGCAGAATAGCAGGAAAGAGAATGGAGATGTACACATAATGAGGTTATTTGGGGCCTGAATGGCCTAACTATAGAGTTTGGATTTTATTCATCTCTTACCTCTTAAATATCTTATTTTTCAATAAAAGAATGGCATTTATTTGTGTATAGCCCACCTCTATCAAAAATCATTAAAGGCTGATGGGAAATGGCTTTGGCTGATGCGTATATCAGAATGCATTATATTCAGAGGTCTGGCATCAAGGAAATTAGATGGAGGGAATTTCAGCAATCCTGTAAGAAATGAGGAAAGCCTGATCTAACGCAGCAGCACTGGGAGAGAGAAGCACAGGAAGAGAGAACTATTTAAGGCTTGGTGATTAAACTGAATGCTGGGACTGAAGGAGATGGAGAAGTTGTGACTCTCAGGTTTCTTTGTGGGACAAGTAGGTGGATAGTGTCACAACACAGACACAGAAAGAAGAGTCCCTTTAAGGAGAAAATACAAGATGAGTTTTATTTTTATTTAATTTCAGGTTAATATGTAGGTACTAATTTTTATTTTAACTTGTTATTTTTAATCTCAGAGTAGTACAAGAGTTTCAGACAAGTTGAGTTGGAGATGCCTGTGAGATATTCTAATGGAGGCAAGATACACAGTAGCAGTTATATGCCTGAGCCTAGAGTTTAGGTGAGTCATCCTGATTGGAGATAATAATTTGGTAGTCGTCCTTCTATAAATAAGGTAAATGCGATAGTGTGGACGAGAGGGAAGGAAGGGAAGACTTTGGACAGAATCTTAAGGTATGTACCCTAGAAAACAGACGTTAAAAAGACTGAAAAGCAGACAGAAAAGAATGTGCCTTTGTTAATATTTTAACGAAGTTCAGTGTCTATTAACAGAGTTTAAGAATAAACCAGCAAATCTCCATTCCCCCACCCCTACACTCTGGCCCACTCCTAAAACGCACCTGACACGTCTAGGTTGCTCAAGGTTCAGGAAGACTTTTCGCTTTCTTCATCCCACGTCTGCAAAGTTCTCTCCCCATGTCCTACTGTTCCCCCAAAATCCTACATATGCTTCAGGAACTGCTGGGATGGAAGCCTGGGAAGTTTCCAACAAATGGCCCTCTTCCTTTGCACCTTCTTTATCTCTGCCCTCACAAGTCACGTTGAGATGGTGGGTCCCTTGAGGGGCTGTATCTCATTCATCCTGTGCCCCCAACACAAGTGTGTATCAAGGGAGGAAGCATTTGCACAAAGAACACGCCTCTCACTGCTTCTCACGAGCTTCCGGTTTCCTCACGTTCCACATGTCTAATTTGTAAGCCTTACAGCGACTGGGCTAAAATTTCATGAAGAAACAGTTTCTGAACAAAAAGTGTTTGTATGGTCCGTACGTGGTATTTAGCCACAAAACCGACCTCTCCAGCCTCAGGTAAAACCAGTCCAGGATGGGCAAAAGCCACGCCTGAGGCCCCGCCTTTCCGGGTGAAGCCCTTGCTAACCCGCCTCCACGCCCCGCCTCACGCGGCGACGCACGCACGCCCCCGCGACGCACGGACGGACGGACGCACGCCCCGCCCCCGTCGGTGGAGGCACAGCTCGTCCCTGCACGACCCATCTGGGGTGTCCAGCTCGAGCACATCTGAACCCGAGAGACATGGCTCACCAGGTATCGCCGGCCACGCAGAGGGCCCTGCGGCGGAGGGCGGGAGAGCACTGGGGGAACCAGGACGATGGCCTCCGGGCCGCGCAGCACGGGATCCTGCTACTGGAGCTGGAGTCGGGCCTCCGGCCAGCGGCTCAGCAAAAAGGAAGAAAAGGCTCCTTAATCAGAAGCAGCTGGGTCGGGGTCGGGGCGGAGAGAGCCAGACAGTGGGGCCCGGGGGTTGCTCAGGTCGGTATCCTAGTGAAAATGCCTAGCGGCAGCTTATTGCCCTTTACAAGAAAGTAACTGGCTCGGGGTCATCTTTGCAGCTTGCGTAGTTGGCAAAGCTGTTGCCAGAGCGCGTGCGCTTGTGTTTTATAATTGTAATTCATAATTGAGCCTACGCCTAATTACTGTGCCACCAATTAGTGTCTTTTGGGAAGACGCCTAGGTTCCTTTCAGTGGCATTATTAAGCACTTAGGTACCTAGAGATTTATATCTTCCTCAGTGTATATCCTCCTGTAGTGTGCTTAATGGGCGCACTACAATAGGGAGTTGGGATTCGAACCCAGGTCTGTTCATACTGAAATGTTATGTTAATCAGTATAACGTTGCTGTTTTGGAGCTTGAAAGAAATGATACCAGGATGCGGTGGTGTGTGCCTGAAGTATCTACTACTTAGAGGCTGAGACAGGAGGATCACCTGAGCCCAGGAGTTGGAGGCTGCCAAGAACTATGTGATTGTGCCTCTGCACTCTTGCCCTGTGGGGACCCCATCTCAAAAAAAAAAAGAAAGACAGAAAAAATGATCAACTCCTTTAGACTTGAACCAGCCGTTGTTTTTCCTTATTGTAAGGTATCTTTATTCAGAGAAGGTGAAAAATTATTTCTGTGATAGTTCAAATGTGGAAGTAGGGCCATTTATTTTCAGTGGATTTAGAGTGGGGCTTTGATTGGCATAGAATTATCAGTTCAAGGAAAGAGTTAAGCTTCTTTCAGCTATTTTTTAAAGGGGAGGGACATGAAACTTTGAGTGAATTCTTTTTTTTTGAGACAGAGTCTCACTGTGTCTCCCCTGGTAGAGTGCTGTGACGTCACAGCTCACAGCAACTTCAAACTCTTGGGCTTGAGCAATTCTCTTGTCTCAGCCTTCCAAGTAGCTGGGACTACAGGCGCCCACCACAATTCCCAGCTATTTTTCTGTTGCAGTTGTGATTGTTGTTTAGCTGGCCTGGGCCGGATTCAAACCCGCCAGCCTTAGTGCATGTGGCTGGCTCCGTAACTACTGTGGTACAGGCTCCAAATTATTTATTCTTTTTGCTTCATTGTTGGTATTCTGAATCTGACCTTTGAGATTTTATTTTGAGATTTTTGATACATGAAGGTGAACGAAGACTGTCATGCAGTATCTGAATTATTTTGTGTTACCCGATTTACTATATACAATTAAATTGTAAAAGTGATAATTTTTTTTTTTTTTTTTTTTGAGACAGAGCCTCAAGCTGTCCCCCTGGGTAGAGTGCCATGGCATTACAGCTCACAGCAACTCCAACTCCTGGGCTCAAGCGAGTCTCCTGCCTCCGCCTCCCAAGTAGCTGGGACCACAGGCGCCCGCCACAACACCCGGCTATTTTTTGGTTGCAGCCGTCATTGTTGTTTGGCGGGTCCGGGCTGGGGATTCGAACCTGCCACCTTAGGTGTATGTGGCTGGCGCCTTAGCCGGTTGAGCTATAGGCGCCGAGCCAAAAGTGATAATTTTCAGGCTCACCAGTTTACATAGGCCTCTCCTTAAATCTCTCTCTATATATAGCTCACTTGTTTTCTTAAACTTTGTTCTATTGCTACCAATAACAGCTTATTTTTGCAAAGCTACACTGTGTCAGTGACTATTAGGGACTTCATGTTCACTTTCATTCACCCCTCACAGCTACCCTGCATTTTGTTACCATTTCTAACTGACTACCTCTTCCTTACCCTCCAGTATCACGATAAAAAGTGAAATTTTCCCAAACCCACCAGAGTTACACCCTTTCCCTGCATTTTGCATTCTGTAGCACTTTGTGCCTATTTCTTTAAATCACATTCTTTATAATTACTGATTTTCAAGCATATCTCCTAAAAACCCAGTGGTTTGCAACCTTTGTCTGTCAACACATTTCGTAAGCATTAGGTGAACTAGTCAAAACTTTCCTCATTGCCCTTCATTCCCTGGTAGTGGAGGAGTGTACTGACTACAATCTCTAAAGCAGCTCTATTCTCAGATACACTATATGGATCATACATATAATTTAAGATTTTTTAGTAGCCACATTAAAAGTGAAAAGGAATGAGTGAGATTAATTTTAACAGTACATTTATTTGATCTAATATACTCAAAATACTATTTGAACATGTAGCAATATTTTTAAAAATACAATTGATGAAATATTTTTACTTTTTTTGTACTAATTCTTCAAGATCCAAAAATGTTTACACATGTAACATGTATCAGTTCAAACTGGGCATGTTCTAAGTGCTCAGTAGCCACACATGGCAAGTGGCTTCTGTGTTGGACAACCCAGTTATAAATAGTGGATATAGTTAAGTTATCCTCCTTCTCACCCTGCAGTTTAAAAAAACAATGGCATTGAAACCAGCCTGAGCATAAGAATGTCACAGGGTGCATGTTAGAAGTGCAGATTGCTCGAAGCCCATGCCAGATCTGGTGAACTAGATTCTTTTGGAACTCGTATTCTTAACCTGCTATTGTTTATGCATGGTAGAAGGTCATTAACTATTTGAAGAATAAAACTTTTTAACTTTTAGGCTTTTCAGGCCTGGTGCATGGCTTATACGTGTAATCCTCTAACACCCTGGGAGGCCAAGACAAGAGGATTGCTTGAACTCAGGCGTTCAAGACCAACCTCAGCAAGAGCAAGATTCCATCTCTACTAAAAAAAGAAAACTTAGCCAGACTTTGTAGCAAGCAGCTGTTGTTCCAATTACTTGGGAGGCTGAGGAAGGAGGATCATTTGAGCCCAGGAGTTTGAGGTTGCTGTGAGCTAGACTGACGTGATGGCGCTCTACCCTGGGCAACAGAGCAAGATGCTGGCTTAAAAAAAAAGAAAGAAAGAAAAAAGAAAAGGAAAAGGCTTTTAGATCTGACCAGTGGTTATGTCAAATTAAATCCTTTTTTTTTTTTTTTTGAGACAGAGTCTCACTATGTCACCCTCAGTAGAGTGCCCAGCTCACAGCTACCTCAAACTCATGGGCTTAAGCAATTCTCTTGCCTCAGCCTCCCAAGTAGCTGGGACTACAGGCACCTGCCACAATGTGGAGCTATTTTTTATTGCAGTTGTCATTGTTTAGGTGGCCTGAGCCGGTTTTGAGCCCACCAGCCTTGGTGTATGTGGCTGGCACTGTAACCACTGTGCTACAGGCACTGAACCTCAAATTAGATCTTTTCATAAGATATACTATTTATATGAAATCTAAAATCAATTCTTCATATCACTTAGAGCTATATGTTTCTTTGTGGATCTTCAATATACTTTCTAGGATTAGCATTCATCAGTATCTAAATTTGTTGTTAAATATTTATTAATGGCGATAAACAGCTTACTTTTTCCTATTTCAGGTTATCAAGTGCAAGGCTGCAGTTGCCTGGGAGGCTGGAAAGCCTCTCTCCATAGAGGAGATAGAGGTGGCACCCCCAAAGGCTCATGAAGTTCGAATTAAG